ACTCCAGAACCTTGCTATGGCAGCCTTAGGGAAGTGCGGAATCTGTTTGCTAGAGGGATTTCTTTACAGGGTACTGCTCGGAAGAGATTAATGACATCTCTGAGAAAACAAAAAAACTTTAATGTTGGAAGTAATCTGTGCTCACCAAACAGTAACCACCATATAATTTCACTGTGGCATCTTCTGATCTATCCCCCACATTAAAAGAAAGCACCAAATATCTTCAGGTTTATTGCTGCTTTAAGATGAAACACATCCTGAGGGCATTTATTTTTCTCCACTGATTGTGACAGCTAAAGCAGATAGGAACATCTACTTTCTGTCCTTTCAGTTCCACCACATTTTTCCTCTGGCTCATGTCTGTATGAAAAAAAACGACCACCTCTCCTATAATAAATCAGAGAGTCAGACTATTGCTGATGTTGGAGGAGACCTCTGGCAATCATCTCATCAAAGAGATCCCTTTCCAAAGCAAATTACATGGGGTTGTTCAGGTGTCCAGCTGGGTTTTTAATATCTCCAAGGATGGAGACTCCACAACATAACTGAACAACCTGTTCCAGTGTTTGGCCACCCTCGCAGTGAAAAAAAAAAACAAATTTTCTTACATTTAAATGATATTACCTGTATAAATACATTTTAAAATAACCCAATTCAGTAAAGGTTAGACAGCAATGGTCTCTAAAGTCCTTTTTACCAACTGCAATGAAATTTAAAAGGCCCTTTAAAATAATTTAATATTTATTGCAGTGATAGTCTTCCTATCTATATATGTTGTGCTGACATGTTTTAATACTGATTTTACTTATATTGAGGTTATGCCACATTCAATACTATACAGATGAAGTTAATTATGACTGTAGTCCTTAAACAGCAACTAACAGCAGCAACTCATTGAAATAATATGGTCTTCGAGTAGGAGGACAGTCCTGGGACCCTGGAGACCAATATTCAATATACAGCTGAGATGACATTCGCTGATAACTATTGAGTGGTCATGGCTGCTAGAGATAATCATCTGCCTTATCTTAGGTGTCTACATATCTCTTAATCATTTCAAGGTGTTCTTTTGACAAGGAAGAAAGAGGCACCTCCAGAGCATGATTCTTTTTTCAGTAGAAAAGATGTTCAGTCTAGGGTACAGAAATTGCTTTTTTTAAGTGGATTATATAGCCTTGGTTGAATAGTTCAGTCCTACAGACATAACTTGTAAATGTCCAAAATCTGAGGCAAGATCTAGCTATTATTTTCCTGTCCTTTGTTTTCAACACTTATAAAAGGATGCCTGTTCCTTGGTTTTCACAATTTATCCAGGAGAGATGATAACAATATGTTCCTTTATAGTAGTTGCTTATAAAAATCTAGGTCCCAGAACAAATCACTTTGGAATAAGAAAGCTCATGAGAGTTACGCTAGGGTCATACTCTGGGAGGCATATCTCAGCCTTGAACAGCATCCCGTACACTGGAATTCGCACTGTCCTCTGCAAGACCATTCCCACCTCTCATTCTGAACAGCAATTCAATATCAGATTATTTTCACATAATTTAACCAGATCTAATATTTCATCTCTTTCTCTGGGGCTCATGCGCTTCTAAAATATGAATAGCCACTGAGTCTGCTTTTCATCATAGTGTTATTGACAAATCTTGGAATCTTTTCTCTCAAGCCACTTCAACAGTTTTCTGTTTGGTTTCCTGTTTCCTCCCCCAGGACGAAAATCAATGGCAGAAAGTGCAGGGAAAATAAAGTTACAGAAGTCATAATAACTTTTTGCCTGGTGATTGTTACATTCAAGCAGAAGAACACGATCTCCTCTCCTGCAGAATAGAAAAAGAAAGTTCCCAGTTTTTGTGTTATTTCCTAGCTGTAAGCAGTATAATGCAGACTCCAGAAAAGACATTATCCCCCTGGTTGAAATGGGGCCAGTATTTTACTCAGCACATACAGGAGTAAGAGTAGGTATCAGCATGCCTGCAGCTTTAGGGTCTGATCCCTTCACATTAGAAACAATTTTTATGTTTTCCTTAAAAAGAAGCAAATCTGAGAAACAACACATGGGCCTCATCCTTGGACACACTGAGCAAGCTGCGAGTTGCTGAACACTGAAGAGGGGACATGCTGTTTAGAGATAATTTAGCACTAGTAAAAAAGTGCCATATTGATTGCCCCAAAGACAGATGTCTTCTGTACGGCCCAGGCAGTGACGTGTTGTTGAGAGGATGGGATTCATACAGCAGTGGGGGAAAGGCCTGTGCTGAGCAAACCAAGGTGAACTATTATCCCACCTCCACAGCACTGTACTGCCCAGTCAGAACAGATACTGAATTAAACCAATCAACTGTGAGTGAAATAATTTATTTAACCCTTAGAAAACATTCAATTGCATTTACAACTCCCAAAATATTTTTAACAATGAAGCATCAATGAAGCATTATGAAGTGCTGATGTTCTATGGTTATCAATTCAAAGAGATTAAGTTTGCAAGGTACTACAAATAAAAACTATGTTATAGGTATAAATGCTGTTAAAGAGCTGATGATGACAGAAAAACTATATGACAGACTTTTTATTTTAAGTCACATAACACAAGTTTATTCCATATGAACAGATTTGGTTTGTGCAGTATGCATAAATTCAGTAACTCAGCTGGCTTGGCTCCATTGATTCCTGAAACTGTGTCATTGGCACCATCTATTTTCTACACACATAACACAGCAGTGATGAGTGTGATTGAAGTGTCTATACACAGAGGCAGTGCCATGTGAGGAAATGTCCTGTGCAAAAAATAGCTTTCACTGAAAAATTGTCCTTTACAAACAGAAATAGTTCCTAAACTTAGTGGGGGTTTAAAGACAGATAGTTTTACATTAGGGGCAGAAGGGATTTCATATCTGGTTTTATTTCTTGTATCCCTCTTTGTCCTTTTCTCTCTCTCCTTTTTTAGCCTTGTTATTTTTCTACTTGTATCAGCGCAAGGCGAAAGATCTCACTAAAGGAATGAAAAAGCAAACAACAATAACCACAACAAAGTAAATAAGGAAAAGGAATATACAGGTGGCAAAAACTTGCTCAAAATATTCTATTTATTAAATTATAGCCTCTCTATAAACTTCTTAAGTGAGGTAGAAAGATGTTTCCTTTAGAAATATATGGACCAGAAGTGGATTTATTGATGTTTACCTCTCCAAAGGAGGAGGAATGTGTCTTGTGATGTGAACTGGCTAGACAAAGCCTGGACCCCTCTTCCATCTTGATGCTGCAATCTCTTAATTTGAAAGTCTGAGGTTAAGCTTTAGAGAGCAGAGCCTATCTTAATATGGACTTTCATAGCAACAAACTCAATGGGCCTCAGGTAGCAAGTGTTATAGTGTAAACAATAAAAGAACAATAATGGGAAGATGACAAGATTTTAGTGTAATCCCACTGAAAAGTTGCTGCCATATGCTTTACTGTAAGCAAAATTACCAGAAGTGTTTAACTGGATCTTGAATGTGGTTCTGTCTGCCTCTTGTCTTGTTCTTTCATGCTTCACGCACTAACCCTCCTCTTACTTGCACAAGATCCAGCACTATTATCTTTGTACCTCTCAAAGCCCTGGTGGTACTAACTAATCTCAGAAAACCCTAAATGCATTCCCCAAAATGAGGGCTTGGGCTCTGAGGGGGGCCTGATTCTTCATTCCCTTGCTACAGCAATATTTAGAGCATGAGGTCCACCCTCCATGCACTGTTATGCCAGGCATGTGTGACAACAGCTGAACTGTCATCGCAGCTCCTGTGAGATTTGTTCTCTTCCATACTCGGTTGCTAGCTAAGGGACTGATGATTAACTGACACAGTGAGGTCAGGGTGCATCTTACAGGCAAGATATTGTTTAACCCACCACTGGTGCTAGATGGCACCTTGGTAACCCGTTGTGTGGTCACTTGCTACTGGTGAATTCCCTGTATGCTTTAGAGATGTTCTCCTGATGTAGCAGACTGAGGAGGAAAGGACATCCTAGTTAGGTTGTGCAGCCCTTGACAGCACAAAGCTGCCAGGTGCTGGCCACTCTAAAGTCCTCTCAGACGGCAAGAGCCTTCTCATCATTTTAGAAGCCATCAAGTATTTTACCCGAGAGCTTAACTTCAGTCTTTCAAATTAAGAGATTGCAGCAGCAAGATGGAAGAGGGGTCTGGGTTTTGTCTAGCCAGTTCATATCACAAGACAGAGTCCTGCTCCTTTAGAGATGTAATCTTTGTATTTGAGTAAAAGTGACTCTCTGCCACATCTAGCTCTGCTCCCTGCTACTAGCTGCAGCTGACTAAAGGACTGGGTGTGTAATTCAGAAACAGGTCATGCAGTGAAGATGAAGAGGCAGCGTCTAAGCCTTAAGAATGGAGGATCACTCACAGGCACTTGCTTCTCTGAAGGACAATGTCCCACATAGTCTGTATTAAGGCAATACGTGAAGTAATATTTGAGACAGTATGTGAGGTAATATTAGGGGAAGTCACAGTTCTTGTCTCTTTCTGAGCAGAGGAAGGAAGAGAACTAATGGTCAATCTGAAATGTAGCAGTTACCAAATAAAAATCACTGTCCCATACACTAATTAGAAGAATTAATAGTATTCTCTGTAAAGGAAACTGAAAATCTGCTAGTTCTGTCCTCTTCCTCACTACCACATTGATTATACCTGAATCTTTCCCAAGATATAAACCCTTGTAACAAAAATGAGATACTTGTCCCTGAGGCAATATCTCCCACCCTTCTTAGGAGATCTTCAATCTCCTTATCTTCCCTATCTTAGAAGATCTGATTAAAGCATAGCAGAGCTTCTCTGTCAATGGAAGAAAACTGCAACAAAGCCTGCCAACAGGCTCTGTAAATCCTGAAGTTCTCTGGAGCCATGTTTATTTTATTTTAGGTGACAACTAATTGTTAGTTGATTTTGGGCTTGGAAAAACCTAGCTCTGGTCTATCAGCTCATGGTGATCTACTTGTTCTTCTCTTTCTAGATCGACAGCATGCAGGCTCTGCTTCACTGCCCCAATGTGCTGGTGTGTGTTGGTCGGGAGCCATTTAAACCCGTACTGGTGGAGAATTTGAGGAAACACTCAGTGGAGAAGCTGCCTAACCTGGCTCCCCATTCCAATGGCAACAATGTCAAAGAAAACAATGAAGGTAAGAAAAACTCTCGGGCATATTGCACAGTCATCTCCAGGCCTGTGTCCCACAGCATAGAGATTACAGGCACCTATTGTACTGCCCCAATGCGCAGATTTCATGTGGAAAATGTACTTCCCTCTCTCTGCCTCCCAAGCCTTTCCATCCTCCCCTTCTTTTTCTCTGGTTTCCTTCTAGGATTTCCTCCCTACACCCTCCAGTCTTTCTTTTACATGCTACCCATGTCTGGCTGACTTCCCTTCCTCTTTCATATCTCTGTGTCTCCTTTTCCTTCCAGAACTCCCTCCTTTCCTGTGTCTGCCTCTGAGACTTCCCAAACTCTTGAGATTTCCCACGAATACTCTATCCCCTTGTCTGTCTGTCATATAACGCTTGCACTTTGCATTTGCCTGCACCAGGATAAGAGGGTGCCCACTTTTTGTCAGCAGGAGACTCAGTTTCTCCTACAGGTTACAGCTGCAATGCAGCCCTTTGGAAACAAACCATGTTTTTATGGAAAGATTGTGTTCAGGAAGGAGTATGTCATAGATTACTCAGGATGATACTTCTTAGGCACTTCATCATGAGTTATCTAAAGTCACATGTAATTAAATCAACCATCCTCAGTAGCCTATGAAAAGAAACTTCCTATTTCCAAAGGGCAATTAATCTCACCCATACTAGAGGTTTTTTTTAGGATGAAATGAAGTATGCTCTGGAGGTGCACCTGTTTCTCTCCATTGTCAATACCAGGAGCCAGGAAATGCTCACTTGTGTTTTGACAAGTTGTAGAAACTTAGGGACAGAGGCATCTCACACTTTCTGATCAAGACATAAAAAATAGGAGGGAGCAGTGCAAATAAACTAAAACTTTGTCCATCAAAAGACTGAGCAATATATCAGCTCAAATTCATAAAGATGGTTAGATAAGAGTTATTTCATGTGATCTTCTTTGATGTGTTTTCTGTTCAACAATTCCTTCCTAAAATGCCCACCATTCAGCTTCATATCCATATGCCCAGATATGTATTAAGTACACTTTGAATAAACATATATTAGAAACAAGATAGATGCATTTCTCAAGACAGCATGATGACAATGTACTCTGCTTGAAATAAAGGGTGTATGACCTCAGTAAATCTCTGCAGATCACTGCTTTGGCCATAGAGATGTGCTTTTGATTACAATTCTTAAAATTCCCTTACTATCACTGATTTCTTCTAGAACTACCATGATTTTTCTTTGCAACTGTCATCAGCTTATGATTCCTTTATCATTTGTGTTTTTTTTTTAATAAACATTATAATTATTCACAGTGGCACATCCCTGCAGGGTCTGAGTGCTGCTCTGGTCTACATGACTGCATCTGTGTTTCTTGGCATGTGAGTGGAGAAGTGGATGATGCACAATAAATGCGTGATACTTGACTTCTTGCTAAGGAAGAGGGTGACTGCTCCATGTATTTTTCACTAACTAAATAAGAAAGATGAAAACTTGCACAGTTGAATAAAAGGATATTTGCATCATGGTAAAACAGAGAAAGTCTGAGAGTAAATCTCTCTTTGCATTAAAATTTTTCTTCTTGGCATGCACCTTTTACAACAAAAAAAGTTTCTGTGTTTCCATTTAGGTTAAAAAAATAAAATTAATGTATAGAAGATTTAAATGCTGATTATTCATTCAAAACTCAACATTTATGGCCATCGCTTAGTCAAAGCCAAATTTTCAAATTATGAAAACTGCTATAAGCTCAGCTTTAATAGAATAATATCAGTATCAACTAATTTGAGGGTTTGATCTATATATTTTGTGCCATCATTATATGAATTCACATTTGTCTCCATCTTTCTTTTCTTCACTTATTTCAAACTCCAGTGGACTTTGGACTGAAAGCCAAAAAAAGTGTTATCCATCCACGAACAGCATCAAGCAATAGGTCGATGAGATTTTCTTTATCATCAGAAAAATCATATCCTAACGGTCTTGCTGCCTCACCAGATAATGGTGTACCTTTCTCAAACAGTTGCTTGCATTCAAAACCTGGGGACCTGGTCCATTCCTTGGTCAATGATGACATAGAAAAGCGGGTACATGTGAACAAGGATGGCAGCTTGTCTGTTGAGATGAAAGTCCGCTTCCGTTTGCTAAATGATGAGACTTTGCAGTGGTCCACCCAGATCAAAAAATCCAATCTGATGAACCAGATGCCTTGTGAAGAGTCAGGTGTAGGGGAGGACAATGGAGTACACCCCATAGAGAAAATGAACCCAGAAGCCAGCTCAGAGGCAGATGAGTCATTATATCCCTGTGATATTGATTCTTACATGTCGAAACTTGAGGAATCGGAATGTGATGAGGCTCATTGTCATAGCTGTGGAAAGAAACACCAGGACTATGACATTTGGAAAAACCCCATGCACACATCCCAGAGGGGAGAGCCCAGTGTACGAACCACCTGGCACACACGGTCATCATGCTCCAGCACATCTTCCCGAAGGAGAGTAGTCCACAAAAAAATGGCTTCTGTGGATAGCCTCCGCACCACATCCAGTGAGGAATTCTCTGAGCACATTGTGCAAGAGTCCTCATCCTACTCAGAGACTATAGAGAACCGAGTAGCATATCGATCCATTAAAAAGTGCACGTGTCGAAGTGATTTGTCAACAGGTGCTTCCAATGGAGAAGACCAGCAAGAATACACTCAAACAAGCACAAGCAATAGTCAGAGACCTTCATCCTTGGGTTTAATGTCACATTCAAGCTGTGAAAACAACCTGGATACTCAAGAAACCCCTGAAGACCATGAGGCCAGCAAAACCAATTCACAAAATGAAGATGAAACTTGTTTTGAAGTCTCCTCTGTGAAGTGCTTAAAGGATGATGGGGAAGAGGTTGAAAGCAGCAGAGTTGGGAGTGCCATGTCAAGGTCATCTCTGCAGTCCAGAAAGAGCAAGAAGAATGTATGTGAGGAAACAAGTAGTGTGGATAGGAGCACGTTCTCCTCAAGCCTTCAGAGGGCAAATCAAGACAGTAACACTAGGTCTTCCACTCCTGCCAATAGTGTGCACAGCAAGTCTAGTAACTGTACTGCACCAAGAGCAAAGAGTGAACAGGATGACCATTCTGATGACAATGCAGTGATCTCCTCCTTCTCCAGTGAGTCCAACCCGAAGAAAGAGGCTGAAGAGGTTGAAGCAGAGGAAGAAGAAAATGAAATCAATGAAGTCAGCTCAGTGTCAGCAAAATCAAAGCCCAGTCAATTGATTAGAGATGAAAGCAGTGAAGGTGACCGATGCTCTACACAAGGAACTCCTCATTCCAGAGCTAGTGTCAGGGACAGCAAGAGAAGTGACAATGAGGAGGTCATTCTGTGCAATGCTTCTTGCTCCTCCAGAGGATCCCAAAAGAGCAAACACAGACATATTCATTTGGACACACAGTCTGAAATGTCTGTGTCTTCACTTGAATCTACTCTGAATAAAAAGAAGAATTCCCTCCATGCAGATGATCTGAGATCATGCAGCAGGACATCCAATTACTCCAAAAGTTCATGTGAAATAAAAAAAAAGTCTGTTGGAGACCCCATGTCTCATAAGTCAGGATCTTTTCATTCAAACATTTCATCTGTTAGTGAAACAGAGGCAAATGCAGGTTTTACAGAGGAGAAAAGCTTGAAAAGTACCACCAATGGCTACAGTGAATCCTCAAAAGGCTCAAAGAAGAGAAGCCATAGAGAAGAAAATAGCAAATCATCATCTGTCTGCTCAAGTGTTTCAAGCTCTAATGGAAAAGCTGGAGAGGGTCATTCTAAGATTAATTCAGAGGCCCCTTCTTCAAGACAGGGAAGTATGAGTGAGAGTGTATGTTCAAAATTTGACCATTTAACTGAGACTGGGATTAAGAATGGAAATACTGCAAGTGTCTCTTCAAGAGTCTCATCAAAGTCAGAAATAAAAGATAAATGCTTGTTAGCACATATATCCCAGGAAAGTGATGATAGATGCTCACAATCAAATGTATCTAAGTATTCAAAATCAAGGCAGATAAAAACTGGAAATCTTCATGTGGAGATGTCAAACTCCAGCCAAGCATCATTGCCTGACACTGTGTCAATATGCAGTATACATTGCCCTGCCCCACCAAAAGGGAAGCCAAAGAGCAAAAAAATTCGTTCAACCATGTTCAAGAATTCCTCCATTAGCAGCATAGGTACTGCTTCAGTGATGACCCCACGAAAAGAGCGAAAAGAAATTGTTGATTCCTCCAAAGCAACTTCCTATGGGTCTAAATCAGCTGCAGCTGAAATAGATGATGAGAAGAGTAAAGAGATTGATGGTTCTTGCAATAAAAAAGTGGAGGAAGAGTTAGAAGGCATGGACATGCAGGAGGAAGGGAGTGAATTAGTGCCATCTACTCTACCAAATACATCTCCAGAAGAGGTTGTGCAAGAATGGCTGAGTAAAATCCCTTCAGAAACATTGCTTATGAAATATGAAATGGAGGATAATGTAGAAGAGGAATGTATGGAGGCAACCACTGAGGTATCATACTGTACAAATGCTGAGGAAATCTCAGAGGATGAAAAAGCTGAGAAAAAGGAGGAGGCTGAAAATGAGGAAAAGGATGAAGTAGGAAAAGAGGCAGCAGAAGGTACAGCTATTAATGAAGAGGCTGAAGAATGCGTGAATCAGGAACAAATTTCTGAGGTTGTGTCCGAAGCTGACGAAGCTGACAAAGCTGACCAGGCAGAATGCAGCCAGTCAGCTACATCCCAACGAAATAGCAACAGAAGAGACCTGCCAACCACTGTCCAGACTTCAGTCCAGATCATGAAGGCCTTGCTTAGTTCAAAACATGAAACAAAATTTGACCGATCGAACAGTTTGCCTGAAGTGTCCCCTACTATGGGGAGGAAACTGAGTAACTCTGCCAGTATCCTGATTACTTGTCTTGCCAGTCTCCAGCTCCTTGACGAAGAGTCAGAAGGTCCATCAGATAAATCAAAATGTTTGAATAAGCCAAGGTACATGGAGCTGCTAAATGTTTTTCAAGCCCTGTGGTTTGGGTGCATACCTGAAAAAAGTGGCCCATGTTCAGATCAAGAAGCGTGTGAACAGGCAAAGACAGCCTCAGCGTTTAAAGCCCCCAGGTCTGTAGATTATGATTTCACTCCCATGTCCTCTTCTGGGGTTGATGTTAACAGTGGTTCTTGTGGCTCAGTGGAAGAGAATACAGCTGGTGCCAGAGACTGCACTTTGGCAGCACAGAAAACTGCTGAATTCAAATCATCTGGACAAGTGGAAAATGTAGAGACTGGCACTGAACTGACTGAGGCTGAGGAGCAAAGTAAAAAGGAAGAGCAGTCATCCCGACCTTCAACAGCCTGCTCAAAATCAAAGGCTGAGGAAAAAGCACAGTCTACTAGAGAGAACTCTCTAATTCAAGAGGCAGAAGAGAATAAAGAGGACCAGTGCAGTAACTGTGAACATGGTCAGGAGGAAGAGGGAGAAAATGAAGACAAAGAAAACCGCAAATTAACTGAAAATGGAGAACAAGAAGAATCTGAAGTTGTGAACAATGAACTCCCAAAAGAAAATCTTGAAGAAGAAGCTGATCAGCTAGCCGCTACTGACAATACAAATGTCAATGATGCTGACTGTGGAACAGAGCTGAAAGACTATTTGGAAGAACAGCTTGAAAAAGAGTCTCCAAATGACCCAGAACCCAAAGTTGATACAGCCACCAGTGTGGGCACATCCTTTGTTCAGCAAAACTCAATAGATCCAGACCCAGTTTGGGTCCTGAAACTACTCAAGAAAATTGAGAAGGAGTTCATGGCTCACTATGTCAGTGCCATGAATGAATTCAAAGTCAGGTGGAACCTGCAGGACAACCAACAAATGGATGAAATGATATTGGAACTGAAGGAGGAAGTGAGTAAAAGGATTCAAAAAAGCATAGAGAAGGAGCTGAGAAAGATCAAAAACAGAGCAGGGAAGAAGCTGCCAAGACCTCCGGATGAACCTCTCAGACGAGAGTCAACACTCCAAACTGAGCAGAGGAGACTGCGATTGCAAACTATGCATAAAAAGTCACACTTCAGTGACAAGGATGGAAACCAGACTAGGCTAGAAGACACATCAGACTTATCTTTTGATGTAGATAACGATACATCATTTAGTGAAGCTTTTGAGGCCAGTATTAGTAAACAAACAAGTGAGGAGGAATACTGCCCATGTGACTCTTGTGTGAGGAAACAAATGGCTTCCAAACCCACAAGAAATCCAGTGGTGGCCACCAATGCCCCAGTCATGAAAGCATTTGATTTACAGCAAATCCTGAGGTTAAAGAAAAATTATAATGAGGAAGCCTGTGTCTCAGAAGCAGCCCAAGACAACAAAACAACTCCCAGTAGTTCTGTGGAAGAAGCAACAGAGAATGGCAATCCAAATGAGAATGACGAAGGTGAAACGGAAGTAGAGGGCAATGAAGAAAAGGAGCCAGAATTAAATGAAATGGGCAGCTCAATGTTGAATGGAGGTGAAGGATCTGAAATATCAGAAAATCAAAACTGTGAGGTGGAGAATGAAGTTAAAGATGAAGAAACCAATGAAGAAGAAAAGAAAGAAGCAGAAGTGGAGGAAGAAGCAAAAGAGAGAGAAGTGGAAGCAAAAGAGGAGAAGGAAGAGGAAGAGGAAGAAGAAATAATGAATGTAGAAGAAGAGGAGGAGGGAGAAACAAAAGAGAAAGAAGATGAGGAAGTAGAAGAGGAAGGAGCAGAGGAAACAATGGAGGAAGAGGAAATAAATGAAGAAAAAGAGAAGGAGGAGGAGGCAGGAGTGAAGGAGGAGGGAGAAGAAAGAAAAGAAGAGGAGGGAGAAACAAAAGAGCAAGAAGATGAGGAAGTAGAAGAGGAAGGAGCAGAGGAAGCAATGGAGGAAGAGGAAATAAATGAAGAAAAAGAGAAGGAGGAGGAGGCAGGAGTGAAGGAGGAGGAAGAAGAAAGAAAAGAGGAGGAAGAGGAAGAAATAAAAGAAGAAGAAGACATGAAGGAGGAGGAAGAAGCAAAAGAGGAGGAAGAGGAAGAAATAAAAGAAGAAGAAGACATGAAGGAGGAGGAAGAAGCAAAAGAGGAGGAAGAGGAAGAAGCAAATGAGGAGGGAGAAGAAGGGAAGGAGGAAGAGGAAGAAATAAAAGAAGAAGAAGACATGGAGGAGGAAGAAGCAAAAGAAGAAGAGGAAGACATGAAGGAGGAGGAAGAGGAAGAAGCAAATGAAGAGGGAGAGGAAGGGAAGGAGGAAGAGGAAGAAACAAAAGAAGAAGAGGAAGACATGAAGGAGGAGGAAGAAGCAAATGAAGAGGGAGAGGAAGGGAAGGAGGAAGAGGAAGAAACAAAAGAAGAAGAGGAAGACATGAAGGAGGAGGAAGAAGCAAAAGAGGAGGAAGAGGAAAAAGAGGAAGAAGTAAGCAAGGAGCATGATGAAGCAAAAGAAGAGGAAGAATCAAAACAAGAGGAGCAGGAAGTAGAAGAGGTAGAAAACCCCAAAGAGGAGGAGGAGGAAGCAAAGGAAGAGGAGGAGGAAGTTAATGGAGAAGAGGAAGAACAAGAAGAAACTCAAAATGAAGAACAGGAAACTGAAGCTGAAGCTGACAATGATGCTGAAGAAGAAGAGGATGAGGACATTGGGGCTGATAATGAGAAAGAGACATCTGAATGCAGAGGAGATGCTGACGGCTCTGGAACTGTCAACAGTCCTGAAGGAGATGCTGCGGAAGGAAGTGAAGCTGAGCAGCATGAAGCTGAAGCAGAGGAAGATGCAAATCCAGAATCAGATGAGATGTGTTCAGATAAGGAGAAAAACAACAGTGAAGGAGATGACAAATGTGATGAGAATTTTGAGAAACCTACTAGTGATGACCCTGACAAGGCACATGAAAAGCATGAATTGAAACGGGTGAAAGGTAACAAGGTTTCTGAGAGAGCCTTAAAGGCCAAAGAAAGAAAAAGCAATGAAACGCTAGGGACTCTGAACAAAGCAGCTGCCTTTTCTTGTTATTCTTCTGTAGGAAACTTCTCACAGAAATCTCAGAAGGGGTCTGAAGATGAAGAAGAATGCAAAGATGACAATAACTCCATGAGCAATCTTCCTAATGGAGAAGTGCACAGTGATGAGAGCAGCAAACCCTCACAGATGTATCCTGACAGCGAGGAAGAAGAGGACAAAGCATCTTCATGCACTGATCCTTTGGAAGATGAGGACCAGGTAGACGTTGAAGGGACAGATCCAAAGGAGGTTGAACATACTGAAAATGTTCAGGCTTCTAAAAAGAAAGAAGACTCTAATGAGATTGGCCAGGATGACCTGGACTTCTAGAACTGCTTATCAAAACCTGCTTTTATTTTTCTTCTTCCTTTCTTTTTTTAAAGTATATTTTCATTACATGTTACAGTATCTCCAGTGAGTTGAGCCATCATAATTGGCTTTTATTCTGGTTAAATGTGGTAAACTTGATCTTGAATCCTGTCAGTAATGTTGCAATTACTTGCCCTCATTTCTAGAGGGCTACTAAACTCATTAAGATGTAGTGTTTTTAGTAGAAAAATGGTTTGCAGAAAGGGAAGGCTGGTTTGTTTGTGATACCTTCTTGTGTCCACTCTTTAAGACATGCTGTTTGCTGCTTGAGTGATCTGTGGCTCTGCTGGGCGTCATCTCTGAGTGACTTCAGGATGCCTTTTGTCTGTTGCATGCCATTTTCCTGGAAAGATTGCCAATCCACAGAAACATGGCAAAATCTGGATTTGTTGCCAAAGTCTTGTCAGAGCCCACAGAAAAATACATTCACTTCCTCTCTACATGTCCTACCGTACCCTACCCGAACTTACCCTACTCTACCCTACCCTACTCTACTCTACCCTACCCTACTCTACTCTACCCTGCCCTACTCTACCATACCCTACCCTACTCTACCTTACCCTACTCTACTCTACCTTATCCTACCCTACCCTATCTTACCCTACTCTACCCTACCCTACTCTACTCTACCCTATGCTGCTCTACCCTACTCTACCTTACCCTGCCATACCCTACCCTACCCTATCCTACCCTACCTTCTCTGTACCCAGAAAAGAGTCTGAGATATCAAAGTGTTTCACCACTTCCCCTATTTTTCCTTAGTAGAGGTTGAGATTACTCATCATTTCACTGGAAATCCTCAACACCAAGAAAGGTTATTCCTGTAGAGTGCACCTCTTTCAGACCACCGATCTGTTTGTACTGTGCTCATTACTGCAGTATGTAATCATGTACTGGTAGATAAAAAAGATGAGTTAATTCACCTATCTATATGAGGTGTCTGAGGTAGTGGTTGAATGCAATATTGACCAAATTAGAAATTAGTAAAGTTCCATTCCTTGTAATTACCTTTACTATGCCAATGATAGTATCTAAGCACTTTACAATCATCTGGGATCCCTCAGACGATTTTGTATGAGGCCCTGTTCCAAACCTATAGGATCTGCAATTGCTCTGTGCCTCGCCCTTGCAGACAACCAATAAAATTTAAGCTAATTTTAGCTTTAACATGGAAAAAAGTTTGGGCATTTGTGCTGCAGCAAACAGCTGGAAGAGGCTCAAGCATTTACTGGAGATGCTGGACATAACAAATCATGATAGAACTGCAAATTTAATTTAACAACTGTTTTCTATCAGATTGTATCCTTGGGAAACAGTCTATTTGATCAATACTTTGCAAGGACAATAAAACAGCAAAAAAAAATTGAGGGTGAAAACAAAATGCCTTAAATTGTATGGTGGAAAAGTATGTGTGTAGTATTGTGCCAGGTTTGTGAAAGTGCATGCGGATGTGTTGAAATAATCAATATTTAATATGAAATAATTTACATTGTTATCATTTTAAGAAACAGTTTCTTAAACTCATAGCCAACCCATTGATTTCCACAGATAAGATTCATTTCACTCAAAGTAAGAATTTGGTTCAGCTCCAGAGGTTAACACTTAATTTTAGGTGTCTGAGAAATAGGGGTCTATATGGAGTAACCAGTGGAGAGCTGGGTCTCAACTGGTGTGCCCTCACAAAGGCTTATAGTGCCATCCATCTGAGATCCTCCAGGGAGGATGCCCTTTTTTTTAAGAAGGAAAGATCTGGGTTTTCTAAAAAGAAGGGTAACCCTGTTAGCCTCAGGTGGATGTCTTGGGTTTCCTAGGACATCTCGCGTGGAACTGTGTGTTTCTCTAGATGCAACTCTGCTGAACCCTGTCTCAAAGTTTGATATATTGTCTCATCTGGTAGTCCCAGTTCCATGTTTTTTTTTCTGCAGACATTTCCATATCTAAGATTACTAGCTTCCAGACACCTTAAAGTCTATGTAGTTTAAACATATAGGTTTAGTGCCAGTTAAGATGGCCTAGGGAGCCCAGTATCATGCCATAGTGTTGGCCTAAAGAGATACAGATCTTTTGTAGGTCCAGAGTCATATCTCAAGCTCCTTTTAAATGTCAGGGATGTTTGAGGGCATCTTAAATTGAATTAGTCATGGATGTAAAAAAAAACTTAATCCACCCCTAAAACTGTGTAAGCAAATGCTACCTCAAGAAGCTGAAGTGCAAGGTTATAACTAAGCATTAAAACTCAATTGGCTTTGAAGTAGGTGTCATGGTTTAACCCCAGCTGACAGCTAAGCCCCACACAGCCTCTTGCTCACTACTCCCTGGTGGGATGGGGGAGAGAACTGGAAGAGTAGAAGTGAGAAAAATGGTGGGTTGAGGTAAAGATTGTTTATTAGGTAACACAAAAGCCTAATTTTGCAAGCAAAACAAACGAAGGAATCCATTCACCACTTTGCATCACAGGCAGATGTTCAGCCATCTCCAGAAAAGCAGTGGTCCATCACACACGAATCGTTACATGAGAAGACAAACGTCATCACTCCAAACTTCTCTCCCTTTCCTTCTTCTGCCCTCAGCTTCATATGGTATGGAACATCCCTTGGGTCAGTTGAGATCAGCAGTACTGCCTGTGCTCCCTTGCAGCTCCCTGTGCACCCCCAGCCTGTCCAGCTACTCTCTGGCTGATGGGGTGGTGTAAGGCCTTGACTCTGTGTAAGCACTGCTCAGCAATAGAGTGAAAACATCCCTGAACTATTAACACCATCTCCAGCACAAATCCAGCACATAGCTTCATACCAGTTACTATGAAAGAAATTAACTCTACCTCAGCTAAAACCAGCACAACAGGAAACTGGAAACTCTCTTTTATGACACAGCAATAGTTAGATGTTTTCTAGTATATCAATATTACACTACCAAGTTAATTCCCACATCTAGAGTACATGATGAACACTACACCTACTCCAAGGGCCAGTGCTGTAGCTTCTGTACCATTAAAGGTCAACCTTAAGGTGATATTTGAAGGTTGTCATGCAGGTGCTAGGCTTTGCATATAACTGAACATGGCTTGTATGAGCTGGATTCGGTTGCAAATGCCTTCAGGCACCCATCGTTCGCAAGACTTGATAGTCCTAATGAATCCTCCTTGTCTAGACTTATGCTCATGGCTAAAGACAGAACCCACACAGGAAAAGTGATCCCTCTGGCATTTACTGTCTGGGTCAGAAAGAAACAGAACTGCTGCAGGGCAGTTTTCCCCTTCTGTAGTGATGTCCCGTGACATCAGTGTTCTGAGTCTCTATTAAACCTTTCCAAAATTTCCACAAACCAATGCCAAAACACTTTTTTTAAGATGTCCAGCATGAGAAACATCAAAAATACAGGTACATCCATTGATTTATAGCTAAGGGAAAGGCACCAAGGAGAAAATTACTGCTGGGCTAGATTCATATCTCTGGTTCAAGGCATGTGTGTCAGTTTTTTTGTCCTGGGTTCTCTGGGCAATGTGAAGAGACAGCATCTCCCAGCAGTTATTCAGAGTGTGACAGAGGATTGTCATCTGAAGTGCTAGAAGCCCATGGATTGTAGCATCTTAACCCTGGCACTTTGAACAAATTCTTCACTATGAGGGTGGTGAGTCACTGGCACAGGATGCCAGTGGCTGTGGCAGTGTTCAAGGCCAGGTTGGAAGGAGCCTGAAGAAACCTGGTCTAGTGGAAGGTGTCCACATGGCAGGGATGTTGAAACGAGATGAATTTGAAGATCCCTTACAACCCAAACCATTCTGTGATTTTATGAGCCTATATATTCAAGCTGTGACTACCCCTGCAGCTAGGAAGTTGTCCAGGTACCATCGGGCTGGTTGGTCCCTACCCATCGTAGGGACACTGAGTGAAGGCTGTGGCCTCTTTGTTCACTGATGCCTGCTAGGGAGCTATTCCAGATATCAGGGAAAAGGAGTTTGCTGCTGAAGAATCCTGTTAGTGATGTCGGTCCCTGCAGCAGAACAGCTGGCCCAGCATGGCCGCTCAGTGGCCCTGCAGTGTATGTCTCTCCACTTGGCAGAGACTGGCAGGTACAAAGTCATGTGTGCATGTATTTTGGTTTCATAGGGAGCAAAGTGAAATATCTGTCTTCTGACACATCAATTCTCTCAGGATTCAGAAAGGTACTGAGCTAGGTAGTCATAGTGCTGATCTTGACATGAGATATACACTGGAAGTGGTACACATTGACTTAACTTCAAGCATTTCTGGTGAAGATATCTCCCTCTGAGCCCACCATCCAGGCTCCCATTACAGAGAGAGAGGCAAAGAAAAGAGTGGTTCATCTCCTGTGGACAGCTACCTTAAAAGGAGAAGAATTACAGTCTCAGCATGCATTTCTCTCTGTGGAGTCTAGACAAGCTACTCAGATGGAAGTACTTCATGTGGAAAGAGCTGATTCCACCATAGCTACTCAAAAGCATCTTACAATGCTTATGATGGTGATTTGCAGACTGCCAGGCAACAGCTCAAGCCAGTCGTCCCATGGAAGTTTTGAAAGTGTTTGTTGGCTTCCAAATCACCCTTCTCTGCTATTGCTAAAAGCTATTGCTGGAACTTAATGGGTTAGTGAAAGAGTGACCATTTCCCAGGATTTCTGCTCCAGCTGTTGACTTTGCTTATTTTAAAGCTGCTTCTGCACAGCCAACATCACATCCTATCTGCGTTGAGTCAGTAAGTTCCTTGCTTGCAGCACCAGCAAGGAGAAGGAAATCAAATAAACCACAAAAATGTAATCACCAAACCGTGACAACTGAAATCACAGGAGTTCTCCCTGCATGAGACCTGTTCCATACTTGTCTGTATTTGGGCAGTGACTCATGCATGTGCCTGTCCTTGTCGGGGCAGCTTGGGCTCTGTACCCATACAGCCTGCTTACAAAAAGCCCCATTCAGAGAGGCTGAGGACCAGTCACATTGTTGA